AAAGCCGTTAGCGCCGATGAGTCGACGGTGCTCAAAGTTCTCCTTCCATCGGTTCTGAAAACCTTGGGGGGATCAGCTGTTCGAGTGAGTTGCGCTGCTCTGGATAAGTATTTTATCTGCTAAGAGCGGGTCAGGTCAAATTCGTTTTCAGTTCATGCATCACTAATCAGACTGGTGGGTAGCGGTTCAAAACGGTGGAGAAGACAAACCGTTTTAGAGTGCACAGCATCTGTCTCCACCGCTTATGCTGAGGTCTGACCCGCCCTAATCAAGGTACTAGTTCAACTGAGCTGCAGCTCGAAATGAACATTCAACTGGACGAATCTGATGGGCAATTCAGTCCAAGGAGTGAGAGTCAGGGTTTAGCGCGTTACCAGAAATTACCATCCATCTTCCCTTCCCCTTTCTTTCCGCTCCTCCGCGCCCCCTCCTTTGCTCCCCCCCTCCTCTCTCGCCCACCCTCTACTCCGCACAGCAATGCGCGCGGTTTGTGGGCTTCGATCAGTGCAGCCTGGAACTCGAGGCGATGAATTGCGCCGTGATGTGCAACCCAGGTGCGTTTCCGATCTCACTTTCACCCCAAATGACCTTCCCGCAGTGCTGTGCACATTCAAGGCACATCTGCTGGAACCACACACAAATCACGAATTTCGCGCAATTGCAAAACCGACAGTGTCGTGGATGGATGTACACTTCTGATGCATTGAGAACATGTGCATTTCATATTTAATACGAGTTCCATATATTTTGAACTAACCTGTGGTATCTACACTGCATTTGTCCATGCAGATAGTGGAAGCTATGTAGTTGCTGATTCGGAATGGTCGGGGACCTTCTCTGTATGCGACGACTACGCATCTTACGTTTACTCTGAATGCAAAGGCCTACCGAGTAAGTCGATAATACATGTGAACCTGCATCATATTTTGTCATATACTCCAGTTACTTGACATGATTTTTCCCTCCTTTTTGTTTTGTCAAACCCCTTGAAACTTTCTCGCTTCGCTCGCTTCATGGTCCCGGACTCTCGTTCTCCCTTTTCCTCTCTCCATTAAAACAACAACCTCCCTCCTTTATACCACCACCATCAACACTCACTCGAAGCCCTTATCACCATTGCCACATAATGTTTTCCTCCCCGTCTGTTTCGTTCGGCATGTGACCCAACAGTGGCCACAGGAACCACATTCGGCAACCTGCTCACCAGCAAGGAGGTGTTCTTCAGAGTGTTCTTCGGGTCACTTTTCAGAGCGCTAGGCGGGCGAAACATTACTGTGAACATGGCTTCAGTAAGTATGAGTTTTAACAGTGAATCTGGGTGTTTTGATATGGGTAGAAAGCAGGGCCTCCAGGTAAGTACGTCTTCATTACAGCTGTGCTGTGCCACGCCGAATGCAGAAGGCGTTTCTCCAGGGACCAGGGGTTTTACAATTGACGCTATCGAGACCGCACCGCACTGCGTTCCTGATCTGTTTCAGTTTCTTCCTCCCCCATTTATGGACCGACTGGGTCAGGCAGTATATGGATGGATACTATGCAATCTACATTGTGACAACATGTTTTTGTTTCTGACTCTGTTTCTGTTTCTGCTTCCTCTTATTTCCGCCTCCTATAGGGCCCAACTGGGTGTTACAACGGGGCCAAGCAGTATCCGCCGGTCCCTGCCTGCTGCGATCCTCTCAACGACATTCCAGGGTGTCCGTTCAAGGACAATGCGACTTGCGGTGCGTTCGTTGGGCGCAAGGTCGCTCCCACGGAGTGCAAATCGTACGCGCAGGTGTCATCTGGAGCGTCTGACCAGTCAGGCTTGGTATTGCCCTCATCAGCAGCACCGCCGCCTGCTAAGGCTGGTGGAAGGATAAAACAGGGCGTGGTGCATATGATTTTGACAAACTTTCTCTTCTGTGTTGTGGCTCTGCTGCTGCTCTTGTAATAGATCTAAGGTGTTACTTTCTGTTTTGAGACTAGTTCGTTTTATATGTTTTAGGGCTAGTCCCCTCCCCTTCCTAGTTTGTTACAGGGCTAGCAAGATTTCTATGTTCCAGGGCTAGCCCCCTTTTATTGGTTTCCAAGAGAACTAGTCTCTTCTCTAAGTTCCAGAGCTCGCCCCCTTTCTATTTTGTTACACGACCAGACCAGACGTTTCGCGTGTCACACAAAGACCAACACTTTGAGATCAAAGGAGCCCCCTTCTCCCGTTGAAACGATGGTCATGCACCAACGTTCCGATTAGGCAGTGGAAGTGACAACATAAGTACCGTACCGTCATCACCCGGATATAAGACAGTGTTGAATAGTAGACAGGGGTTGTCTACTATACGGGTGTCTCTTATAAACAGGCTAGCCTCATTATAAGACACCTATTTGTGTGTATGAGATAAGACATATATGTCTTATAATCGAAACTTCAATAAATTATAGCGAAAGTTGAAGTACCGCGTACTTTTTTACCCTTGCGAAGCGCGAATTCTTCCACGCGCTGACCCAGGACCTACCAAATTTGCCCCTGCAGGTGTTCTCCATAACGTGGCGTCTCGGGCAGAGGTTGTCGAAGTGGCACCTTCGCAACATCCACACGCATTATGAGAAACTCTTTTTAAAGAAGTACGGAAAATATTTCTAAGTAGTTTAAAAAGTTTCCATTTATAAGACTTATAAGACACCCTAAACCATCCCGTTTACAAGATAACTCAAGCATTTTTGCCCGTGTACGAGATAAGACATATATGTCTTATATCCGGGCGATGACGGTACTAGTACCAGCATTGCTGACAGGATGCGCCTAGTCTGGTGGTGGCGGTGCTAGTTCTGGGGGTGCTCGTGCTGGGGACACTAGTTCTGGGGGTGCTGGAGTCTCAGAAAGTGAATGCAACGGAATGGTGAGATTAGGAATGTGGGTGATACAAATAGCATACCCTAACTGAGTTGTACTCACTAAGGAGCACCTCACTACATCCTATCACAAATATCAACATTTGACACACCCCCATAGGCTAAGTGAGGGGCATCAAAGCAAGCAGGGTGAACAAACGGTCACAAGACCAGTCAATGCAACAAGCAAAGCAAGCTCAGGGTGGATCTCAAGGACACCACACAAATTCCGAGCACAAGCAAGCGGCCACAAGGCCAGTTCAAGAGTTCACCAGGATATATATTTGCAAAGTACAACAAGCAGAGCAAGCAACAAGACTACAGCAACCGAGGACCTGCCTCAACAAGCCCTAACTGCACACAGAACCAGTGGTGATCACCCGGCGGCAAGGCCTTGGTGAAGAGGTCAGCAGTGTTGGCCTCTGAGGCCACAAAGTCCAGGCGCACCTGGCCGCGTCGCTGTAGCTCACGCAGGAGGAAGTACCGGACGTCGATGTGCTTCACCCTGGTCTCCAGTCGAGGCTCGCGACACAAGAGAATCATGGCCTTGTTGTCAGCGAACAAGGTCGGAGCAGGGCGAGGTCGCTCACCAAGGTCAGCGAGCAAGAAGGTCAACCAGCGAAGCTCCTGAGCAGCCATAGCACCGGCATAGATCTCTGCCTCTGCACTGAACGAAGCCACCGACGACGACCGTGTGGACCTCCACGACACAGCCCCAGCTCCCAGACTGAAACAGTAACCTTGGGTCGAGCGCTGAGTCTCCACGTCGTCAGCGTAAGAAGAGTCACAGAGGCCAGTCAGCTCAACTGGCCGAGTCCCTCCAAGCACAAGCCCCATGCCTGATGTAGTCGCCAGGTACTTCGCCACCCTCACGACAGCCATACAGTGTACAGGACGGTGCCTCCCAGGTCCAACAAAGCGAGAGAGGACGCTAAGAGGGTAGGCGAGGTCCGGGCGAGTACAGGTCATCAGGTACATGAGGCAGCCAACAAGCTCTGGGTAGGGACCACTAGGCTCAAAGGGCTCGTCGGGGAAGGGGCCGGTGAGTCTGTGGTCTACAGCAAGCGGAGTGGGCTGTGTGGTAGAGAACTGAAACCCGAACCGCTGAAGGACCTGCTGCACCATGTGTGACTACGTCAACGTGATGGTGCGAGCGGCTCTGTCCCTGGTGATCTGCAGGCCAAGGTAGCGCTGCAGTTCACCAAGGTCAGTGCACGTGTGTCTCTTCTGTAGTTCGGACTTCACCTCAGCCAGAGCTGCCCTGTCTGGTGTAGCAAAGACCAAGTCGTCGACGTAGACGAGTATAAAGAAAGGAGTGGAGCTGGCACGAACAAACAGTGATGGGTCAGCAGAGGAAGGGCGAAATCCTAGGTCACAAAGCGTGGAGCGAAAAGTGTCGTGCCACTCACGGGGCGACTGGCGGAGACCGTAGACTGGTCGCCTTAGGCTCCACTGGGTCCCAGGAGGGAAAGTACCAGTGAAACCAGGAGGACGGCGCAGCTAGATCTCCTCGTGCAGTCGTCCCTGGAGAAAGGCAGTGGAGAAGTCGAGGGAGTGGAGCTCGTAGTCACGCTGTGCTGCTACGTGTAGTAACACCCAAAGTGTAGTCATCTGTGGGGTCGGAGCGAAGGTCTGAAAGAAGTTAACTCCCTCGCGCTGACTGAAGCCTCTTGCCACATAGCGCGCCTTGAACACCGGGGGTGATCCAGGCGGCCGCTTCACCTTGAAGAGCCACATGCCATCGATTACGTTCGCCCGGGGAGGGGGAATTGCGTCGACGTACGTGCCTGTGGATCTCCAAGACGCCAACTCTGAGTCCATGGCCGCCTTCCACTGAGAGGCCCACGACCCTGACACTGCCTCAGAGTACGTGCGAGGAGTCGGTATGTCAAGGGCGTCGGGGTCTCCTCAGGGGAAAGCAGCATGGCACAGAGAGTGGGAGAAGCGGCTGCCAGGTACTCCAGCTCGGAGTGCCTATCCTCTAGGACGTCATGTCAGAATGTTATTATCTAGCCTGTAGTGGGGTGCTCTATAGCGAGTACAACCCAGTTAGGGTTTGCTATATGTATCCCACCTGCTGCTAGTGAAACCCCTCTTTCTTCTTCTAAACTTCTGCTCGTAGTTCTGACATGCTATCAGAGCAGGTCGATCCCCTTGGGTTGATCCTGTGGGTGGGCCCACCACCTAATGCTTCCGCTGCTCTACTGCTGTCGCGCGCCCCGGGCGCGCTACCCTTTCTTCCTGCCGAGGCGCGCGCGCGCGATTTTTTTTTTTCCGGTTTCCCTGTGTGGCGCGCGCCCGGGGGGCGCGCGGCCCTTTTTTCTTCCTGGCGAGGCGCGTGCGCCCCCCCCGTCCGTCCGTTGTGCCGCCCTGGCGAGGCGCGCGCGCTCCCCGCCCGTCCGTCGTGGCGCCTTGGGGGCAGCGCGCTCGGCCCCCGCCCGTCCGTCGTCGCACCCTCGGGGGCAACGCGCGGCCCCCGCCCGTCCGTCGCGGCGCCCTGGCATGGCGCGCGCGGCCCCTGCTGCTTCGCCGCGGCGCCCTGGCCAGGCGCGCGCGGCCCCTGCTGTTTCGTCGCGGCGCCCTGGCCAGGCGTGCGCGGCTCCTGCAGGACCGTCACGGCGCCCTGGCAAGGCGCGCGCGGCCCCTGCTGGTCCGTTGCGGCGCCCTGGCTAGGCTCTCGCGGCCCCTTCCTGTCCCGTCCCCCCCCCCCGTGCTGCCCATTACTCTCGTGCTGCCGTGCGTTCTGCGGTGGTGGGGGGTGTGGGGTGGCGAGCATGGGGGTGCGCGGTGTGGGTGCTTCCCTTCCCTTTCCCCTCCTCCTTGTTCGTCTCCCACTGCTGCAGCTGCTGCTGAGGGGGGTGGAGGTGTGGGAGCCGCGGGGAGTGGAGCTAGGGGGGTGACGTGGAAGTGGAGTTAGGGGTGAAGCAGGGGGTGTGTGTCAGGGGGGTGGGACTGTGTGGGGAGGCTGAGAGGAGGCTGCCGTCGAGTCGCCAGCAGCGCCAGTAGTCCGGAGCCCTTGCTCTCGGTAGCCCAGCGAGCCTGCTGCGCCAGTCGCCCGTGGGTCCGTTGCTCCTGCCGCTCGTCGTAGCCGCGGAGTCTGTTACTCCAGTAGTCCGGGGCCCTTGCTCCGGTAGCCACTGTGCCGGCCGCTTCTGTTGCCCGTGTGTCTGCAGCTTCAATCGTCGCCTCCCGTCTTCTCTCCCCCACAGTCTCTCCTCCTCCTCACTTGCCCTCTGTGTTAGCCTCTAGCTTTGCTTATAATTGTGAACTACTGCTATGCCTGCTCATTGTGCTGATTACACCCCGCTTTGGCTATGGGGGTGTGTCAGAATGTTATTATCTAGCCTGTAGTGGGGTGCTCTATAGCGAGTACAACCCAGTTAGGGTTTGCTATATGTATCCCACCTGCTGCTAGTGAAACCCCTCTTTCTTCTTCTAAACTTCTGCTCGTAGTTCTGACACGTCACAGCCAAGGGCAAACTCACCCCCGACGGACAGAGGACGGGTGGGCGGAGCGGGCACCACACAAGTGCTGTAGTCAAGGCGGCTGGCGGCGGCAAAGTCAGCGACAGCGGCAGTGAGAGCCGAGACAAACGACGGAGAGAAACGAGGGTCGGTGACAACAGTGGCTAAAACGCGGGAGACAACAGGGCGAACAGCACGGTAGTAGTCGAAGATAGGAGTAGGGGAGACAGGAAGAGAAGACGGAGGAGGAGACGGGAGAACGGACACCGAAGGAGGAGAATGACGAAGAGAAGTACAAAGGAGGGCAGTGTCGAGGTCGGTAACGGGGGACGAGGGACGAGCATTTGGAGGACAAGGACGGGAACGGTAGTGACGGACAACAGGAGGAGGAGACTGCGGTGGAGGGGAAGACCAGACCACCGGACGGTCACCAGGAGGAGGAAACGAAAGACCAAACGCAGGGGGAGACTGAGAACGGACAGGAGGAGAGGAGGGAAGACCAAGGGCCCGAAGGCCACTCACGGGCAGGAACAACTGCCGCTCCAGAGGGAGCTGCTGCTGCTGTGGCTGCGGCGGCTGCTGCTGCTGCTGCTGTTGCTGCCACTGCTGCTGCTGCTCCAGCATGTCCAACTACCGCAACTCCTGCCGCTCCCGCTCCAACCGCTCCTGCTCCTCGCGCGCATGCCGGCAGGCCGCCTGGTAACGCGTGTCGTGGTGGTGGGGAGGCGGAGTGCTCTCCGCAGACGTAGTGCCCCCAACTCCAGTCTCCTCAGAACTAGCACCCCCAGTACCAGTGTCCCCAGAGGGGGTACCACCAAGGTCAGGGTCCCAAGTCCCTGCGCCCCCTGTCCTAGCACCCCTAGTGCCAGGACCTCCAACTCCAGCACCCCCAGATTTAGCACCTCCCGTGCCAGCACCCCCAGCTCCAACACCCCCAGAACTAGCACCTCCAGCGCCAGCACCTCCAGCTCCAGCACCCCCAGAACTAGCACCTCCCGTGCCAGCCCCTCCAGCTCCAGCACCCCCAGAACTAGCACCTCCAGTGCCAGCACCTCCAGCTCCAGCACCCCCAGGGCTAGCGGCACCTATGCCAGCATCTCCAACTCCAGCACCCCTCGAACGAGCACCCCCAGACCGAGTGCCGCCAGTGGCTGCATCTCCAGCTCCAACACCAACTGAGTCCACAGTAACCTGTCGCGGAAGTACCGAAGGCTGCTGAGGGGACTGTGAGGAGGACTGCGGGGAGGGAGACGCTACTTGACGTGCGACCGAGGGAAGAGGGGTAGCGTGAGACACACCTGACGGGGCAGGACCAGGGGGGGGTGGGGGTACCGGAGGAGCGGGAGCAGGGGGAAGAGTCGGTGCGAGGAAAAGGGGGGGAGGGGGAACCGGGAGACCTCGACAGGGGTACCGGGTGTAGTAGGACACTGACTCGTCGAACCGGACGTCACGGGAGTCTAGGAACTGGTGGAGGGGCGGGTGGTAAAAGGACCAGTCGGCCGAGGCTACCGGGAAACCAAGGAAGAAACAGGGGACGGCGTGAGCCGAGAGCTTGTCTGCAGAGGTGTCGCGGACAAGCGCAAGGCAGCCCCAGACACGAAAAGCTGACCCAACACCAGGGGACCCGGTCCAAAGACTGGTCGGTGAAACCTTTGGCCGCGAGACGCGCGGCTGGAGGTTCAGATGGTGGGCGGCGTAGCCCACCGCGTAGGGCCACAGAAAATGGGGCGCACGCGCATGAATCATGGACGTGCGGGCGATATCCATGACCAAGCCAATGCGGCGCTCAGCAACCCCATTCTGCTGTGGGGACTCCGGCAGCGTCCTGGACTATACGATGCCCTGCTCGCCGCAGAATCCGGCAAGAATGCCTGAGCGAAACTCACCCCCACGGTCAGAGTGGAGACAGGAGACACGACGGCCACGAGTGGCCTCAGTGGCTAGAAGCCACCGGATCAGCGTAGAAGTCACCTCAGACTTCTTTGCGAGAGGAAACACCGTGGTGTACCTGGAGAAGTCGTCGACGACCACCAGAAAGTAGCGCTCCCTCTCAGGTCCCTGCGTAGGTGCAGGGCCCCAGACATCCAAGTGGAGTGTCTAAAAGGGAGCAGTGGCCGGACGAAGGGAGGAGGAGTGCGGAGTGGCACGAAGATGGCCGGCGACGCAAGGAGTGCACGACGGTGCAAGCGAGGGAGGGAGCGACGGGAAGACGCGAGGGAGACCTGAGACAAGACGGTGACTAGACATAGTGCGGAGGCGGGGGATCGACGGGTGGCCAAGACGGTGGTGCCACAAGACGGTCCGGTGGGTGAAAGACCGACACGAGCAAGACGCAGCAACTAGACCGGACACAGCAACCTGACCGGACACAGCAACCTAACCGGACACAGCTACCTGCGGGGGCGGAGTGTGCAGGACGAAGAGACCTGAGTGGGGCTCTCTGGTGAACGTGGCAAGAACTGCCCCAGTGGAAGAGTCCGTATAGATCGCAGTCCTCCCGTGCGCAGGAAAAGTGACTGTGAACCCCCGGTCCTGAAGGTATCCAACACCCACCAAGTTCCGAGAGAACGAGGGGATGTAGAGACCAGTGAGGAAACCGGAGGGGACAGCTGGGCACGGGAGAGTGGTCGAGCTGCGAGCAACTGCTGGTCCTGAAGTAGATCAGCCAGGGCAACTGGGACTGGAGCCGAAAGAGGTGTGACAGTGGTGTGGTTGCGAAAGAAGCACTGGGACGCGCCGGAGTCCAGCGTGAAAGAGAGCGACGCAACAGCAGTCGTCACGGCTGGGCTAGTGACTACACAAGCACCTACACTAAAAGCACAAGTACCGACACTAGCAACAGGCAAAGGTCCTAAACTAGGTACACGCAAGCCAAGAGATCCGTACGTGACAGAATAAACAGCATCCATAGACATATCAAACACAGGGTAACCACTACGAAACAAACCGGGCCAGATCGGGGGAGCCGACTCAGGCCCAAAACGCTCACGGTATAGGTCGTCGAGGCGACTGTAGCAGCGCGGTGCAGAGTGGTCAGGACGCCAGCAGGTAGTGCCAGCACCAGGGCCGGTCAGGATCCGGTACTGGCAGGGGCCGACGTCGCGGCCACCGCGACGAGCCCCCAAGCTGGCTGGGCAGCTGCTGCAGCCAACGCCACCTGCACCACCAGGCTCCCACGGCTGCTGAGGGCGCCACGGCTGCTGCTGAGGGCGCCACTGCTGCTGCGGGTGCCACTGCTGAAACTGCCGCTGCTGCTGTCCCTGCTGCTGGAGAACCCTAGTGGACGCCATGATAAAGTCTAGGAGCGTTAGGAGCTAGGGACGGCTGCAGTGAAACAACGAGAACAACTAGGAGCGCCAGGTGAAACTAGGCGAGGAACGGCTGGAGCTAGACACGGCTGGAGCTAGAACGGCTGGAGCGAGAACGGCTGGAGCTAGACACGGCTGGAGCTAGACACGGCTGGAGCTAGAACGGCTGGAGCGAGAACGGCTGGAGCTAGAGACTGTAAGCGCGGCTGTCGGCTGCCGCTAGCAGAGCCACTGGCAGTGGAAAGTACGTGCGACAGTAGGGGCTGCACTACTGACGGCTGCGGTATGTAGGGAACTGTGCAGGTCGTCCAGCAAGCAGGAACGCGAGCGACAGTTGCAGCGCAACACCCTGAACCCCTTTTTTTTGTTTTTTAGGGTTTAATTAATTAATTTATTTTATGGCGCTAAAGCGCTGCGGGGCGCGCTGCCTGCCGGGTGTGCTGCCTGCGGGGCGCGCTACCCGTGGGACGCGCTGCCTGCGGGGTGCGCTACCCGTGGGGCGCGCTACCCGCGCGACGCGCTGCCTGCGGGGCGCGTTACCCGCGGGGCGCGCTACCTGCGGGGCACGATACCTGTGGGGGCGAGCAGCCTAGGGGCAGGGCAACGCGCGGGCTAGGGGCAGGGCGCACGGGTGCGCACGGGCTAGGGGCAGGGGCGCATGGGCGACGTGACGGGCTGGGGCAGGGCGCACGGGCTACGCGACGGGTTAGGGCAGGGCGCACGGGCGACGCGACGGGCTAGGGTAGGGCGCACGGGCTACGCGACGGGCTGGGGCGGAGGCGCGATACTGAGGGCGTGGAGGGCGCGCAGGGGAGGGCTAGGCGCGGAGGCGCGGATGGCGCGTTACGGAGGGCGCGGAGGGCGCGTTACGGAGGGCGCGTTACGGGAGGCTAGGGCGCGGAGGGCTCTAGGGCGCGGAGGGCGCTAGGGCGCGAAGGGCGCTAGGGCGCGGAGGGCTCTAGGGCACGTGACGTAGGGCGCGTAAGACGCGGAGACGCTCTAGAGCGCGGAGGCGGGCGCGAGGTAGGCTAGGCTAGGCAAGGATGCTAAACCTACTCGTGATACCATCTCAGAAAGTGAATGCAACAGAATGGTGAGATTAGGAATGTGGGTGATACAAATAGCATACCCTAACTGAGTTGTA